TGGACACTAAAGGTTAGCCACAAGGAAAGTACGTCATCAAGTACCAATAAAAACGGTATGGCAAGGCTCAGGTGAGCTTCCTTGGTTTCCAGTTATTCCATGCATCTTGTCACACATTGACACTAGCATAGATGGATGGATGGATGGATGAGTGGATGCATGAATTGGTGGATGGATGAATAGATGGATAATTGAATTGGTGGTTAGGTAAATGGATGGATGGATTCATAATTGAATGGGTGGATAGATGGAGGGATGAATTGGTGGGTGGATGGATGGATGGATGGATGGATGGATGGATGGATGGATGGAATGATGGATAAGTTGGTGGATGGATGGATGGATAGATGAATGGATAGATTGTTTACAGTTTCTTTCCCTTGTGTCCCAGCATTGCAGCTCTGATGTCATGGGTTTTCCTCTTCCTGGACTCACTCAGAGCTCCGGATCTTACTGGACAGCTCCACCAGGGCTGCAGGGGTCTCCAAACCAACATCCTCCCAACTGGACCCACCTGCCTCCTTCCTGCCCCAAACTGAGCCTTTTCCTAATTGATTTTCCCATGGAGTTTATGTCAGTGACCTCACCCAGTGGCCAGAGCTGGGGACCTCAGGGTCACTCTTATCCTTCTTACCCCTGACCCTGCAATTCAGCTGGACATCTTTGATTTAGTTGCGAGTCCTTTATCCCTCTTCATCCCCCTTTCTCCATCTTTCCTAGTGCCACGTTTCCCCCACCCCAAAGTGCTGTTTCCGCACTCTGAAGTCACCACTGAATACCATACCATCACAACAATGGGAGCATGTAACATGTCTGCAACATGCCGTCTTCATGTAATGTTGCATCTTGTTGGGTGAGTACACCTATGCCTGACTCAGCATAGGGGTGTACTGTCTGGCTTACTCAGCATCCTGTATGCGTGCATTGGGCCGCCTCCAATTCTCATAATTAATGCTGCCAGAAGCATTCATTGCACATGTACCTTGTATTCCTGCAGGAAACATATATGTTCAATATATTATACACATAATATGTGTATGTGCTGCACACACACATATAAATATATGTATGTGTACATACCTATGTGCAATATAATTTGTACACATTCCTTTGTATATCTGTGGGGAATAATTCTATGGGATGAATTACCAGCAGTGGAATTGCTGAATCGAAGAGAATGTGGGCACATTAAAAATGGTAATTAGGGGCACCTGGGTGGCTCAGTCGTTGGGCGTCTGCCTTCGGTTCAGGTCATGATCCCAGGGTCTGGGGATGGAGCCCCACATCGGGGTCCCTGCTCAGCTGGGAGTCTGCTTCTCCCTCCCACTCCCCCTGCTTGTGTTCCCTCTCTAGCTGTCTCTCTCTCTGTCAAATAAATAAGTAAAATCTTAAAAAAAAATTTTAAAATGGTAATTATTATAGACCCTGTTGAATTTCCTTTCTAACATCAGGGTAATTAACATACCCAACACCAGCAGAGGAGAGAGTGAATTTCCTGTACTGCCTCCAACTCATGGTGTGGCTACTCTAAAGACAACAGAATACCCTTTTCTTTTTATCTTGCTGCTTTAGAACGAGTCAGGCACTTGTTGAGTTAAAAATTCTGGGACAGATGGGGAACTTTCTAAGAAGAGAATGAGTTGCATTGGGTGGATTTCGTAAATAGGGTAACGTTCATGGGAAACCACTGGAAGTGTCTTTGCTGAGGATGGATGAGGGATTAACTAAGTGACCCTTAAGACCTTGGCTTCGGACCAGACCAGAGGATTAATATGGCAGAGCTTGCTCCAGTGTTCATTAGGGTGGCGGCTACGCCACCTGGTGGAAAGGAGTTGTTTTGAGTAAAGGTTTCGGAGGCGTGAATTTATGAGGTACAGAGATGGAGAGAGGGATGGCTGGATGTCTAGTTTGTTTGATGGGGGGATGGAGAAGTGGGTGAGTGGTGGATGGTGGAGGAGTGGATAGATGGGTTGATGGATGGATAGATGGGCAGATTTGTGGATGGTGGGTGGGTGGAGGGTGCATGGAGGGATTGAGTAGGTAGGTGGGGGGGATGAATGAATATACACATGCATGGATGGATGGGTAGATGCATAGCTGAATGGATGGATGGGTAAAAGGATGAATAGGTGGATAAATGGATGAATACCTAGGTGGTTGGATAGATGGATAGATGGATGGAGATAGATAGTAGATGGATAAGTAGATGCATAGGTATTCATATATGCATACATTTATAGATCTACACATTTACATCCTCAAGCACTTTTCTTGTAGGAACAGATTAATGGAATCTCCGAATCTGGGTCAAAGTGAAAGATATCAGTGCAGGGGAGGAGGTGTCTAGCTTGGAGGGAAGTAATCTAGAGGGAAGCCAGAATTGGATTGGTTCTGCATTTAGACCAGTTAGCTGGTCTCAGTTCTTGTGGTGCTTCCTTGAATGCCTACATTTAGCAAGGGACTCGGTCCCTCTGTGTGTCAGCCCTAATCAGTTAAATGAAATGAGGTCATGGTAGACTACAGAGAGCTCTAACCCAACATGACTGGTGTCCTAATGAGAAGTGGAGACATAGAGAGACACACATGGAGGGAAGGTGTTTGTGTGGCGACGGACATTGGAGTGATGGGGCCACAAGCAAGGAACAGCAAGGATTTCGGGCAATCACCAGGAGCTGGGAGAGAAGCTTGGAGCAAACCTGTTTTTAGAGCTTTCCAAGGAACCAACCCTGCTGACACCTTGATTTCAGACTTCTGGTCTCCAGAACTAGAGAGGATGAATTTTTGTTATTCAAGTCCTCCCCTCCACACGCACCATATGTGATAAATACATGATAGACACATTTTAAAACATTTCACAGTTTCTGTTAAGTCTGGAATCCAGGCATGAGATAACTGGGTCTCTGCTCAGGGACTCACCAGGCTGAAAGCAAGGTGTCGGCAAGCAGTAGGGGGGTCTCCTTTGAGACTTAGGGCTCTCTTACAAGCTAACCGGTTATTAGCAGAATTCAGTTCTCTGAGGTTGGAGCAGTGACACCGTCACCTCCTAGGGGCCACCCACTAATTCCTGCCAAATGATCTTCTCCATAAGGCAGTTTGCTTCTTTTTCCAGGCAACCAGGCTGTATGTCTGCTGCCTCAAACCTCGTGCCCTTCTTAATGCTGACTTCTACACCTGATTAGGCCAGGCCCACCCAGGATTAATTTTCCTTTTGATTAGCTTGAATGACCTGACTATGGACTTTGATTTTGACTGCAGAATTCCTTCATCTTTGCCATAGAATCCCGGGAGCAAGTCCCATCATCCCCCCGGTCTTTATTCACACTCAGTGGGAGTGATTTATACAGCTATGCCCAGGCCATACTAGATTAGGGCTGCAGATATTAGGGACTTTGCTTTCCTATTTTTGAGATGCATCCAAAAGAGGAATATCTTGCTCAAACGTGTAAAAGGATTTTCCTTGAGCGTTTTTGAAATTATTATGACCACCTCTTAGATGTGCAGGTTCTGAAAGAGTATCTCATTACTTTGCTTTGCAAATGATTCAGACAGCAGAGTGGAGAAAGAGTTTCCAAATTTAACAGTTCCCCAGGGAAACGCGCCATCGCCTTGCAAGCAGCCTTGGGGACAGGGTTTTAATGAGAACCCCCAAAACCTTTCTGTTTCCAAGACAAAGGAGAAGTTAAACAAAGATGACAATGATGCACATCCTACCAAGAAGCCTGCCTGGGTTCAAAGAGTGGTCCCATTCCTGAGACACCCCAGACTGTTCCCTCCTTGTCAGGAGATCATGATCATATTTGCTTTGATGGGTGGCTTGTTAACAGGACAACATGACTCACACGTAGAAGACACTCAGACAACATGACTGACACATAGCAGACACCCAGATACCCAGGAGCCCCACGTGACACCAGGGTCCCCTCACCCACTCCTGCCGCCTCTGAAGCTAATGTTTTGGCACCTTTTGTTGAACAACACAGGATCTGTGTTCTCCCACCCTGGATTTTCACTTTGCAGACTTGTGACATACTTTTTTTTTTTTTTAAGATTTTATTTATTTACTTGAGAGAGAAAGTGCCAGAGTGAGTGAGGAGGGGGGAGGAGCAGAGGGAGAGGAAAGACAGAGAGGGACAAGCAGATGCCCTGTTGAGCCTGGGGGTGGGGGCTCCATCCTAGGACCCTGAGATCATGACACCAGCCGAGATCATGACACCAGCCGAAATCAAGAGTCCCCGAGATCATAGACCAGCCGAAATCAAGAGTCCCTGAGGTTATGACACTTGCCGAAATCAAGAGTCTGAGGCTTAACCGACTGAGCCGCCAGGCGCCCCTGGATTTATAACATATTTGGGGCATCAGAAACACATGTCTTACGCAGCGTCTGCCATAATGTGGGAGCTTAATAAGTTGTAACATGCTAATTTATAATTATGTCATGTAATTATACGTATCTTACCACTTAAAAACTATTATTACATATTACATGTCAAATGTATTTTACGTGGTTACTTACATTTTATGCATTTTAAAATTAACGATATCAAAATAAGAGACGTAAAACTGTTCAAGTATGAAGATGTGGCGTCTTTATGTTGTTGCATATTTTTATGGCATTCTATAGTATATTTAATTATGTTCCGCAATCAGTATACGTAGTAAGTGAAAGTAACTAGTAGTAAAGAAATGATTTACTGTTCAACCATACGGCTATGTTCTATGTTGTGTGTGATCATAACAGTAATTGAGGCGGACGCACAGGCTCCGCACCTGCTTGGCTTAAGGCGGCCAAGCGCACCCTGCAGCCCCAGGTGAGGCCTCCTGGACCCCGGGCACAGGTGGCGCGGCGGGGGGAATCGCGCACGCGCAGTGCAAAGCCCGGGCCGGCCCTCCCCCCCGCCCACTCGGAGGCCTCCCGGAAGTCCCGCCTGGGGGCGGGGCCAGACCCGGCAGACGAAACAGGGAGTCGCCGCGCGGCCGCTTCCGCGAGCACGAGAGCCGGAAGCGGAAGTGCGTCACAGGGGCGGGCGGCGGCGACGGCGGGTGGTGTCGGGGGCGCCTCCGGCGGACGGTGGTGGCGCCGGGCGGAGAGGCCGCGGTTGACCGGGTCGTTGAGGGGCGGCGGTGAGCTCGGGCCTGAGCGGCGGTGCCCGGGGGCGCGGGCGGAGCCCTGCGCCGGTGAGCGACACCCCGTGACCAGCTCTCTCCGCGAACCGGGCGGGGGGCTCCGGGGCCCGGGGGCTGTGAGGGCCGGAGACTCCGAGGAGCCGGGGTGTGCGAGGGCCGGGGGGCTCCGGGGGGCTC